AATAAGCCAGTCAGAGAAAGACAAGTATCATACGATCTCACTCATATGTGGAATCGAAAGAACAAAATAAACTAATGAACAAAATAGATCCAGAGACATAGAAGCATGTCGCGCCGTAGGAACGGATCTCTGACGTAACCCAAGGACCTACTGTATATAAGGAACTCACATAACTTAACAGACTGTGGAATCTCAGAGGGAAGGCAGTGAAGGATGGGTGGGAAGAGATCAACCAAAGAACTTATACGCATATATGCATAATCTGTGGACACAGGCAATAGGGTGGTGAAGGCTTGGAGCGGGGGTGGGCTAGAAGGGTTTAGTGGGGGGAGGGAAGGAATGAAACATATGTAATACTTTCAACAATAAAGATTTAACTTAATAATAATAATAATTTCTAACTACTACAATATACCAAGGATGTTAAATACATCATTTTATTCAATCCTCATGACAACTCTTATTTGGTAGCTACAGGATTCCCACAGCAAGATCACACTGCCAGCCTGTCATGGACCAAAGTGTTAAACCTCAAGCCCTGTATTTAGCTTATAATTGATCCTTAATCCTATGCTTGACACATTTAGAAGAGGCATTTTCTGTACAACACAGCACTCAAGTTCTTCTAACTTAGATCAGAAACCCCTGCTATCTTTAAAGGTAATTTTTAGAATGAATCACCACACTAGTTTAGCAGATTATGCTTTTTCCTGAAGCATCAGACTGGATATATGCTATGGGTCAGATGAAGATGAAGGGTCAAGAGGGCCAGTGGTTAAATACGCAGCCTGGCTTAATCTGTTAAAATGATACATGAAAACTCTGATTTTCAGGGCAACTAGCTCACCCTTGTGGATGGGAAACATAACTACACAACCACCACATTAAAACACTGCACTAAAACTAGGGAAACTGATTCAAACCAGTAAATATCCTTGACTTAAGTTTGAGCAAATTTTCTGATCAGATCTACATGGCATATACAGTTACTATCTATATTGTGCTTAAACTGAAAAATAAATCCAAGAATTTATTGAAAGCAATGTAACAAGAATCATTAAACAAAAATGAGTTTATGCAGCAGTCAATTCTAAAAGATCAGAGTAGCAATTTTTCAATCTAGTAGAAATCACCTAAACTCTAACAAAACCTAACTACAAAAAAATTTTCTGCAATATTCACTTTTTCTATAACTATTTATTGAGTACCTATTTTGTAACAGGCATAAAGTTAGACACTAAATATCCTATCTAATAAAAGAGAAACATGGTAATTAGCCATACATCCGCTACCCTTCCCATTGGCTAATCAGGGTGATATGCAAATTAACTGCCAGCCAAGATGGTGGCCAGCAGCCAGGCTACTGACACGAACAGGAGGCTTCCTTGCTTCAGTGACGGAGGACTCCAAAATTCCCCGACTGCCGCTGCTGGGCTCTTAGCTGCTAAGAAACATTGTTACAAATATAGAAGCTAAACAAAAGCCCAGAAACCTCTTTTCAGTCAGCCAGGATCTCAGAGTTGGAGTCGCAACAAAGTTTCAAATACAGAAAGTAAACAAAGCCAGAAACCTGCTTTCAGCAGAGAGGTCTCACAGCTAAAGCCGGCTCTCAGTTCCAGTGACAGCCATAAATCCAAGAATAAAAAAAAAAAAAAAAAAAAAAAAGGAAAAAAGGAGCGGTTAGGAGCTTCAGTCACCCGCCAGCCTGAAAACGGCCCTCAGCCCCTCACCCAGACTGGCCAGGCACCCCAGTGGGGACCCCCACCCTGAAAGGGGTGTGACCAGATGCAAACAGCCATCATCGCCTCATCCAGGCTGGCCAGGTACCCAAGCGGGACCCACACCCTGATCCAGGACACCCTTCAGGGCAAACCAGCCGGCCCCCACCCGTGCACCAGGCCTCTATCCTATATAGTAAAAGGGTAATATGCCTCCCAGCACCGGGATCAGCGGAGCCGTGAAGCCTCCTGGCCCCTGGAGCAGTGTGACAGGGGGCAGTGCCCAAACTCCCTGATCGCCCTGCGGCTCTGTTTGTGACAGGGGGTGGGGCCACAACCTCCTATCCGCCCTGCTCTGTTCGTGACAGGGGAAGGCGCCCAACCCCCTGATCAGCCCTGCTCTGTGCCTGATAGGGGGGAACTCCCCAACCCCCTGATCACCCTGCGGCTCTGTGTGTGACAGGGTGCGGCCCCCCAACCCCCCCATTGGCCCTGCTCTGTGTGTGACAGGGTGGAGCTGCAACCTCCCCATCGGCCCTGCCCTGAGTGTGACAGGGGGTAGTGTCCCAACCCCCTGATCGGCCCTGCTCTGTGGGTGATGGGGCGGCGCCCCAATCTCCCCATCGACCATGCCTTGAGTGTGACAGGGGGCGGCACCCCTACCCCCCAATTGGCCCTACCCTGAGTGTGACTGAGGGTGGCACCACAACCTCCTGATCGGTCCTGCTCTGTGCATGACAGGGGGGAGCTCCCCAACCCCCTGATCAGCCCTGCTCTGTGCGTGACAGGGGGGAGCTCTCCAACCCCCTGATCAGCCCTGCTCTGTGCGTGACAGGGGGGAGCTCCCCAACCCCCTGATCGGCCTTGCTCTGTGTGTGACAGGGTAGGAGCCCCAACCCCCCTGATGGGCCCTGCTCTGTGCGTGACAGGGGGCAATGCCCCAACCCCCTGATCGGCCGGCTCTGTATGTGACAGGGGTGGCACCACAACCTCCTGATCCACCCTGCTCTGTGCGTGACGGGGGTGGTGCCGCAACCTCCCCATCGACCCTGCCTTGAGTGTGACGGGGGCGTCGCCCAACCCCCCAATCGGCCCTACCCTGAGCATGACTGAGGGTGGCATCGCAACCCCCCGATCCGCCCTGCTCTGTGCATGACAGGCGGCGGTGGCGCCCCAACTCCCAATCAGCCCTGCTCTGAGCCCGACCAGGGGCTGCAGGGCAGGCACCTAGGGATTGGGCTTACCCTCTGCCACCCGGGAGTGGGCCTAAGCCAGCAGGTCGTTATCTCCTGAGGGGTCCCAGACTGTGGGAGGCCACAAGTGGGGCTGAGGGACACCCCACCACCACCAGTGCACAAATTTTTGTGCACCGGGCCTCTAGTAGAATATATAATGGGCTATTGCTTTGCTATGCAGAAAAATCAAAATGAGACATGCAATAGAGACCCTATAGCTACTCTGGATTTAGTAATCAAAGGAGACAACTCCAGAACACTGCAAACAACCCAAAGTTTCATCAGTAGTCAACAGCACAAATGTCTACCAATCATGATACAAATATACAACAGAATACTGGAGAGAGATTAAAAATGTCAGCTATAATTATAAGTGCTAATTCAAAAGATATACAACATATATCACAAAATTTAAAAAAGCAAGGTAAGAAGAGAATATGATTCTATGTATATAAATTCCTTAAATCAAGTATTTAGATGTGGGTATATACATTAAAAAATGTAGCCCTAGCTGGTCCGGCTCAGTGTTGGAGCATTGGCCTGTGGACTGAAAGGTCTAGGGCAGTGGTTGGCAAACTGCAGCTCGCGAACCACATGCGGCTCTTTGGCCCCTTGAGTGTGGCTCTTCCACAAAATACCACATGCGGGCGCGCACGTACAGTGCGATTGAAACTTCGTGGCCCATGCACAGAAGTCGGTTTTCGGCCTAGGCGAGTCTATTTTGAAGAAGTGGCGTTAGAAGAAGTGGGGGGTGGACATATAGAGAGGATGAACGAAAGGAGATAGACGAAACAAGTATACAAGACAAGTGTGGATGGGAGAGGTGGAAGGGGTCAACAGAAAGTAAACAAAGCCAGTGAACGTGGGATAACGTTCAGCGAACGTACCTCAATCATTTTTAGCAAAGGCCAGCTTAGGAGTACCCTAATCAAGTTAATAACAATGTACCTACCTATATATTGTTTAAGTATAAAAAATTTTGCTCTCAAAAGAAAGTTCAATCATTCTACTGTTGATATTTGGCTCTGTTGACTAATGAGTTTGTTGACCACTGGTCTAGGGTTTTATTCTGGTCAAGGGCATGTACCTCAATTGCAGGCTCAATCCCTGGCCTGGGTCAAGGCTTGAGCAGGAGGCAACCAATCAATGTCTCTCTCTCACATCGATGTTTCTCTCTCTGTGTCTCTCCCGCCTCTTCCACTCTCTCTAAAAATCAATGGAAAAATAAATCCTCGGATGATGATTAAACATTAACAGTAATACTTTCAGAAGAGGAATTTTAAGTGGGAGATTCTATATTCTATTTCACATGTGTGTGTGTATTCCTTTTATTTAAATACTGAAATTTTGTTTTTAATATATAAATAAAGCCAAAAAAGTATGACAGAAAACATGGGCCTTCTACTCCTGATCTATCTGAAACTGTTATAATTCTAATTTACACTTAATATACCAACCTCCCACTAGAAAAGGCAGTAATAAAATGATCATTTAAGAAAGGATTCTGTGAATAATGTTTGCTTAATGTTAAATATGGCATAGTCATCTCCTGTGATTCATGACCATACCCCCAACCCAGTTCAGCTTTCATTGGTAAAAACTAGTCCACCTGTTCTCTATAAGATGCAGGTATAAGGATAACTATTCCAACTTATACATAAATCCATTTAGGAAAAAAAACTGGGAGGACATATCAAATTCATTCAACAAAAGGAATAAAAACTGGGTCTTCTCCCACCATTTTAACACTCACATGCCCTTCCCACAAAGGGATGTTCAGATCTCTCAAGCTGCTTCCTCAACTACAAATGTCCTATGTGCTAATGCTCCTAAATTTACTAAATAAATAAATAAATAGTTTAAAAGGGTTCCAATGATTCAAAAGTAAAACATACTCCAGAACAATTTAGACAAATAAGTCCAACGTTGAGTGGCATTTTCCAACCTAGGTTGAAGACCCCATTTCCAAAAGTAGCAAACCAAAAACATACCTCCTCATAGAGTGTATTTAAAAAAAAAAAAATGAGCCCATGTTTTAGTTTCTTACCTAAAGCAGCGTGATTTTCTTTCTCCTGACTCTTTCCCATAAAGGCCATCATCTTTGAATACGTATCAGTCCACCAAGGATTATACTGTAAAACCTGTTCAACTGCCTCATCTTCAAAAAAGTCGGCTCTGGGGAAAAACAATGAATGTTAGATGGGCTTGCTATACAGACTTTGGCTGGGTTTGATGTTTTCTAATTTATAACTCATTTCATTGCACTAGAAATACCGATCAATTCAGAGTACATTTCAAAGAAAAACGAGCACTACATTTAATTTACTTTAGTAATCATCATAAAATGAAAAGTAAGCAACTAACTAAAAGGATAGTTGATATTTATGATTTCTTACATGAGAGGTACACAAAAGACCAGTCTTGCCCTAAGGCAGCGGTTCTCAACCTGTGGGTCGCGACACCTTTGGCGGTCGAACGACCCTTTCACAGGGGTCGCCTAAGATGATCCTGCATATCAGATATTTACATGACGATTCATAACAGTAGCAACATTACAGTTATGAAGTAGCAACGAAAATAATTTTATGGTTGGGTTACAACATGAGGAACTGTATTTAAAGGGCCAGAAGGTTGAGAACCACTGCCCTAAGGGCCCGTCGCCTGCACTACAGTGGTGTGGGATAACGGGAAACCCAAAACACAAGGAACTGAAACCTAGCACTTGTCCTATATTTGCAAATATCACAGATTCTGGTAAAATTACAACAAAGAAACGAATCTTTTAACTCCAATCTATTTTATTTAGCTATGCTAATCCTAATAGGTCCTTAAATTAAAACTACTGAAAAAGATAAAAATAATCTTTGTTGAGACCAGAAAAATACTTTTCCTTCACTTCACTTTCTTAGTTTTAACTGGAAAAGTAACTGCTATATTTGAAATAGCAGGACACTTGTTCAGAAAATATGCCTCATTCAAAGTTGGAAAATGGTATTCTTGGGGTAACAATGAGAAAAAGTATACTAGTGAAAAATTCATTTATATTTTAGTTAATTTGAAACTCAAGGGACTGAGGTTTTGATAAATTGGATTTTCTAGCTGATAGTTTTATGACCTTAAATACATTTTTCTTTCAAGTGAGATACTGAAATCTTTTTAAAATTAGAAACATCACAGATAACAAATTCTTCGTATGCGCTAAGTACTGTACTAAGTACTTCTCATTCATTATTTTTTTGAATCTTCAGACAATCCCCATGAGCAGGGGATACTCCCTGCCCATTTTACATGGGTGAAACCTGATGCTCAGAAAAGTTGTACATCATGGCTACAGTCAAAAAACCAGTAAGCAGTGTGGCCTGAATTTGGACCTACTTAAGTTTTACTCCAGGATCCAAGCTAGCAATCAAAATATGTGTTCTATCTTTATGCTTAAGAAAATAAAGTGCATATTGGACAAAACTGAATAGCAATGATCTTGAAACAATAATTCTCAATATCAATTTTTAGGCACACATTTGAGACTATGATGAAGAAGTTGCTTTATAAACTAATCCTGTTAAGAGTCTCTATTAGCCATCTGTGGAAGAACAAGGCCTCCTCTACTAAGGAGCTGTACCCCCGTGGACACCAGGTATTAGATAGAGAAGACATGCGAAGTCATAGGCTGTAGGAGAGTCTTTATTGCAGACCAAGTAGCCATTGCTACCAAAGAGCCATCAGACAAAACAGTTCTTCAAAGTAGTCTCACAAAGCAGCTGCAGCAAACAGCCTTGCTAATGCAGTAGCAAACACAGGAGCCCTTGTAAACATAGTAGCCGTTCCTAACAAAGCAGCCCAACCAAGCAGCCAGGCACCGCTGCTCAGTAATATAGTTTATACCAACTCAGACAAAAGAGGCTTCTCACCAAACAGTGACATCAGTATTTGGGCTATGGAAAGGCACACCTGCACAGTGCGTACAGTAAGATTCTTGAGTCCTTGCTTTTGCACCTGTATATGGCAAGCTGGCCTTGAACATCCAGTGTACTCTGATTAGGGTTCCCACACCATCTCTCTTTTTTTAATTAAAATTTTTATTGGTCCGATTATTATAGTTGTTTCTCTTTTTTCCCCCCCATAGTTCTCCTCCACCCAGTTCCTACCCCACCCTCTGTCTTCATCCATAGGTATACGATTTTTGTCCAGTCTCTTCCCACACCCCCACACCCCATCCCCCATGAGAATTGTCAGTCCACTCCCTTTCTATGCCCCTGATTCTATTATATTCACCAGTTTATTCTGTTCATCAAATTATTTATTCACTTGATTTTTAGATTCACTTGTTGACAGATATGTATTTGTTGTTCATAATTTTTATTTTTACCTTTTTCTTCTTCTTCCTCTTCTTAAAGGATACCTTTCAGCATTTCATCTAATACTGGTTTGGTGGTGATGAACTGCTTTAGCTTTTTCTTATCTGTAAAGCTCTTTATCTGACCTTCAATTCTGAATGATAGCTTTGCTGGGTAGAGTAATCTTGGTTGTAGGTTCTTGCTATTCATCACTTTGAATATTTCCTGCCACTCCCTTCTGGCCTGCATGGTTTCTATTGAGAAATCAGCTGACAGTCATATGGGTACTCCCTTGTAGGTAACTAACTCTTTTTCTCTTGCTGTTTTTAAGATTCTCTCTTTGTCTTTTGCTCTTGGCATTTTAATTATGATGTGTCTTGGTGTGGTCCTCTTTGGATTCTTTTGTTTGGATTTCTCTGCGCTTCCTGGACTTGTAAGTCTACTTCTTTTACCAGGTAGGGGAAGTTTTCTGTCATTATTTCTTCAAATAGGTTTTTAATATCTTGCTCTCTCTCTTCTTCTGGCACCCCTATAATTCGGATGTTGGTACGCTTGAAGTTGTCCCACAGGCTCCTTACACTATCTTCATATTTTTGGATTCTTTTTTCTTTTTGTTTTTCCGGTTGGGTGTTTTTTGCTTCTTCATATTTCAAATCTTTGACTTGATTCTTGTGCTCCTCTATAATATTCTTTATTTCAGTCAGTGTATGCTTAATTTCTAATTGGACCTTTTTCATATCCTCAAGGGTCTCACTAGATTTATTGAGCGTCTCACTAAATTTATCAGCAGTTTCTAGAAAATTCTTGAAAAACCTTATAACCGTGGTTTTGAACTCTATATCCAGTAGTCTGCTTTCCTCCATTTCTGTCATTTGTGACCTGTTTCTTTGTCTCCGCATTTTTTATGCTTCCCTGTGTTGACAGAGTGGCTTTGTGTGCTAGGTGTTCTATAGGGCCCAGTGGCTCAGCCTCCCCAATTACCTGAGGTGGACACTCTTGGTGCACCTCTTTGTGGGCTTTGTGCAAAGTCTTGTTGTAGTTAAGCCTTGATTGTAGTTGGTATCACTGGGAGGAATTGACCTCCAGGCCAATTCGCTGTGAGAATCAGCTGTGTCTACGGTGGGAGAACTTCTGTGCTGAAGACACCCTTATGGAGCAAGACTTGCTTTAGTGGGGCTTTGGTGCTCACTGAATCTGCCCCCTGAAGTGTGTTCCTTATGGATCTGAGGAGTTGTAATCTGGATGGTCCCACTCTGACCACTGGGTACACTGGCTCTTGGATCTCTAAGGAGGTGGTAATTTAGCCTCTGCCTGAGGCTGCCCAGCAGGAGCTACTGAGAGATCTTCAGATTCCTCTTCTTTGTTTGGGGTTTAGAGGTGCCCAGATGAGGCCCAGCTGTGAAGCAATGCAAGCTGCTGTGGGGCCTTGGGCCTTCTTTTGGATGTTCTGGGTCACTCTGGCCCAGCTGTAGTTTGTTAGATAATTTTAGATTGCAAAGGGCCAGGGCATTCATATGCAAAAGTCTCTGTGCACAACTTGGGTGGGGCGGGGTCTCAGGGAATCAACAGAGTGGAGCAAACAGCTGTGGCTGAACCTCAGTCCTGCCCTAAGAGGCCCCTGATCTCAGTGTCCTGGTAATCGCTGCCAGCACCTCTGAGAGAAAGCCGCCCTCGAGTTCCGCCCGCTGCCAGACAGTCCAGTTTCTCCCTGTATGAGTCTGAGTCCCCAGAGACTCGCCTGGAACTGGCGTTCAGAGCCGTTGGGAGCTTGTGTCTCCCTACTGATTGAAAAAGACAACCGCATCCTCAGTTGCCAGCCCTTTCCTTGCATGCCTCCGTACCGCTGCACTTTACTTCCATACCTCCTCTGAGTCTCAGTGTGCTTTTCTCTTTCCTTCTAGTTGTAGAATTTCCACTCTGCCAGCCTTCCTGTGGTTCTGGATGATGTCTGTTTTGTCTTTTAGTTGTATTTTTGAAGTGGTTGTGCAAGGCAGCAATTTCAGGTGTTTACCTATGCCACCATCTTGGTTTCTCCCATATTTCTCTTTTGACCATCTCTTTTTAAAGTAAGAAAAATTCAAATTGATGGTTGCCAGATGTGAAGAGGGGGTGGGTGAAAATGGTAAAGGAATTAAGAAGTACAAAATAGTTACAAAATAGTCACAGGGATATAAAGTATAGCATAGGGAATCTAGTCATTAACACTACAATAACCATGTATGGTGTCAAGTGGGTACTAGACTTATGGGGGAGGGGTCATTTTGTAAATTGTGTAAGTGTCTAGCCACTATATCGTACACCTAAAACTAATTTAATATTAAATATCAACTCTAATTAAAAATTACTTTTAAATAAAGTGAAGAAATACTCTTTTGAATTGATGTTTATTACAGACTTACATCCACTAATCAGAATGCAAACTTTTTCTAGGAAATGAACTTCAAAAAAGATAAATAATTAAAGTGGCTAAAATGCTAAATAAGTCAACAGAAGTACTAACTTTGTGCCCTGTTTCAAGCTCCATGCTGGGCACTGCTACATAGCTGACATGTTACATGGCTAACAAGCCACAGGAAATCCTGGCCTTCATGGTACCTGCAGTCTCCCAGGAGAGTCAAACAACTATAACTCAGCATAAGTGCTTTGATAAATGTTATAGCAAAACGAAGGTGGGATGCAGGCAAGGCCGCTGAAGCAAATAATAGCTGAGCCAACAGCGGAATTGTAATTAACAGTTAACCAGTTAAGAGAGGTAGAATAATCTGGGCTGAAAGAATAGCTAGCAAAGGCTAGGAAACAAGAAGACACATTTAAGAAAAAAATGTTGAGAATAGCTGAAAA